TGCGTATGAAAATGTGAATGTACGTGCAATAATAGTGTCTGCTCACATAGAGTGGCATCAGTATTTAGTAAACATGCGATTCGGTCGAAAATAACGGAAGTAGCTGGCAATTTCGGCAAGTAGATGTGCATATTAAAGATGTAAAAGTTATTTTTTCAGTTATAACAGTCAACATTTTTATTTCAATAATTACTGTAATCCTTCCGCATTTGCATTCAGTGTACTTGTCTAAGTATTACCACATCCAATTTATCATTATTATTATTGTTATTATTAATATTATAATCGTAGTCACAGCAATTACGGTTTTTAATGTCAATAAATTTTCCACTCCAACCAACATGAGTATTTTAATTGCACTAGATATTTTTTTAAATGTAGGATGTGAATTAACTTAGTAAGTACACGAGATAGTATTCCTGTTTTGAAAAAACAAAACAAATAAACTTAAGTCACTTTGTCCTGAAATATTTCATTTTAATTATATCTTTATTTGGTTAATAAACCCCTACAGTAACTCTAAGAAATCCACTTTACCATATGATTTAGTCACACAGTAAAATTAACCATTGGAGAATGAGTATTTTATTATTCGTCCCTAAATGTCATTCACACATTTGCCACTGATCAGGAACTGTGATGGAAAAATGTGAATGCTATGCAAAGTTCCAGTTAAGCCGTTATGCAATCAAACATTTGATAGCACCAAAATACCAGTATAATAATCAACGTGTTAGTAATTAGAATTCACTTTTCTTATATTTTTCTCCATCTTCATTTATAATTCTCCAGTCAAGTAGAATACTTGCCAACACAGATTACTCTATAAATTTATTAATTAATTAACAAGTCTAGTATTCCATGCAGTTTCATTTGACGGTACTCCCAACCGTACTGTTATAACGTATGAAGCATGGTTATTGTTTTTATTCAGAAAGACTCATCGTCTACGAATCGAAATTGCTTACCACACAATGTATGATCGACTTAGCACTGGAACTTGCACTGAGAAATTAAACATTATCTTTATTTCCTTCAAAGTTGAATGCAGAATTAAATAAATTAGTTTTAATGTAGGATTAGGTATAATTTCTTAACTACTGGAAAGTTCAAAACTAGGGCTAATGATTTAAATGAATGGAAAATCCCACTACAAATTCGTAAAAAGAAGAATTCTGAACGTTTTTATTTTGTAGAGAATCACGGCAAATGTGTATGAACTTAATTTTCTATTCTCTATACACATTTTTATAATAGGTGGAATGTAGGTTTTAGGATAGGGCCTCACTAACGCATAAAAATAAACACCAATGGGTAAATATAGTTCATTAGCTTCTGTGTACTTAGATACTACACCATACTAAAAATATGAACTCCTTTTAAAACCACACTTACTTAGGATTTAAAAAAACTTATTCTAACAAAGTATTAATTTTGTTTGTACTACTTTTTCTCCTGCTACAGATTACAGTATATAAAATGCCTCTATGAGTTCAATATTGATTACACTAGATGATTTTATACAATGATAACAATTTGAGATGAAATCTATCTTGCAATTAGTCGAAGCTCAAAAAGCTCAACATTTAAAAATTGACGTACTGTTTGCTCACTAATGATTGTCTTCACTATATACATCCCGATGTTCTACTTAGATGTTATGAACACGTCGAGTGTTAAAACCGATGCTCCCCAATGATATTGGTTGGACGTGATACCATATCATGAACTGACAAAACGTAAAGTTCAAGGGCGTTCAGGACCCAGATGTTGTATTTTAACAGGGTCGCCTAACAACCTTAAGCTCTTGCATTTTGGTGGTTAAGGGATTTACAAATGCCGCTGCTGAATTATGAGGTACTTCCTTGTTTTCATTGGCGATCTGATTAGTGTTAATTTAGGAAAAAGTGCATGTCGATATTTATCTTATTTAAAACTCTGCCTAAATAGAAACCTTCGGAATTATCTGCTTATTGAATCATTTGAGATATCATTTTACAGAAAATTAGAAACATAAGCAGAAGGAATAATTCCGCTGCCAATCTTCGTGTTTATAAAAATCAGTCACAAAGTGACGTGAAAATAAGTGAATGAACTGATCATTGTTTTAAACTCTGAAGTGTTTAATTGGTTTGCACCGCTTATAATGAATTAAGACCATGGAAAATTAATTTTTAGTTACAGAGAATAGGCGTGCAGTGAAGACTTATTTTTTCCAGCGATATTTTCAAACTGTGCAATCACATATGTACAGTACAGTGTCATGACAACCAAAGATACGTTTCCCAAAATGTCTCATTAATATTTAGGGTTTTAAATGACGGTCAAGAGATTCTGATGAAAGTCATTCAACACAAACTAAAGCAAAATTAAGCAAATCGACTATGTGACGTGACATAATGGACAGAATCGAGTAGAATCCAACTGAAATTGTAAAAGTTAGGTCAGTAACAGTGTTATAAGAACTACAGATTTAGCAGTCGAAAAAAAATGAGGAGAATGTAGGTCAAATGTTTCGATGAATTTACTCTAGTATAAGTTCAACGATTCTGAATACAAAAGTATTCAGAGTTCAGGATTCAGCACATGGACTGTTATAGTTTCTGCTATTTGAAGAAGTCTGGTTCAAGCACATTTGTCAAGATTCTCGACTGCTCTGTAGATCACTCTGAAGTTGGTTAACGAGTTAGCTTGGTGTCCAAAATCAATCGTGTTCCAGAATGGAGCTGCGGTGAGATCATTTTTCTTCTGTGTAAAAGCTCGAGAGTAAGTGTTCAAACATACGCTTAGACAGTAAACATTGAGTACGGACGGCATGACTAGCTCTGCCTTAATATATGGTCTTTAAGAGGGAGCATTTTTATTTGTTTTCGAGACTAATAAAAGCGTTCTTCAACTTAGCACTCGGGCTAAGTTCCCTTAAATTGTTTCCTTTTCTTGTGAATAATGAGCCCCTGAGAACAGACTTTTTATTTGAGCACCTCCTGGTTATTCTTACCTTTGGCTTAGGAACCCTACTGTCATACTTTTCAATTATTAACACACAAAACAAAAATCATACAGAAAGAATAGAATTTAGACACTAGTAGACTACAGTTACAAAGAATATTTTTATTTGACATAACACATAGTGATACGGTACTATCTGTTTACTGTTGACGTTTCAGCAACATTTTGCTGTTCGTTACGATATGTTTATGAACAACAAAATCTGCTCGAGAAGAAATCATTAGATAAATAATCCGGTATCACTGTATGCTGTATAAAATGAAATTATTTATTATGAAACATGATAGCAGTTTAGGAACTCTTCAGTGACTTAGGAATTTGGCTGTCTGATCTGAATTAGCACCAGTGCCCCACTGTTCCGTTTGGCTTCCGAAGGAGGAAGTTACTTCCTGAAGTCTAGATTACTTCGATTCAGATGACAAATGGTCATAAAAAGGTACCTACTCATATCAGTCACCTGTAAATAAATTTTTACTTATAACGGCAAATTTGATACTGTTAATCATATTATCATTCATTTCTTACAATACAGTTGGGATGCAGGGCTTCAGCAGGACATCTACTCTGTTCTCTACTGTCGTTTTCTTTTTTATTACTGTCCGCTAGTTTTCAATCCCCTTCAACCCCGGACACCCAAATCGTCACTTCCCACTTGGGTCCCATTCTGGGGCCTAGCATGTGAATAACACTTTTGAATAACACTATTTACAGTAGTAATATATCCCACGCTCCAAACTCAAATCACTTTCAATTCTCACCATGGATTCCTGAGAAAAGTTTCACTCTCATATCAGGTTGCATACAACTGATCTGATTATTAGCCACAGCTTAGACTGTAAATACTGCTGAGTGTTAACTTGTAGTGTAGAAAAAACTTCCCAGTATCTTCTGTCTGAAAAAATATTTAATTTTAATAAGTGCCGAATTCTAAAGGACTGATGAAAATGATATAAGTTTTGGGAATGGTTAGATAAATGAGAATAAGTGATAAAACTACTCTTTAGTCCTAGTTCATATATACACACACAACAACGAATATATTACACGATAACTGAGAAATTACTTTGCAGGAAATCACTGGCATCAGTACATGAATTTTTTATTTCTTTACATTCCCAGTGGAATATAGGGGTTCAAGTTAGAGCTTTGAATTTCCGGTAGCAGTGGTAACTATTTTTACGGGATGGGATTATTCATGCTTAACTTTCCCTCTTTACCAGTCTTATTATTGGCTTAGCGAGGTTTGGGAGTGCGTTGGCCGAGCCAACTACGTGGTTGGCGAGCATTTTACCTCTGTGCCATTGACGCACATCAGTATATGAATAATCACCTAAAATCGCTGTTAGTATAAGCATGATTAATTTACTACTGGTCTACGTAGACTGTTTTATTTGAGGGAAAAGTGATGTCATCTAGTGCAACTGGAAATGTAACTAACTATTTATTTTAGTGGGACTGATGCTTTTAAGAAATACTGAGCTACATGTGGTCATAGGAAAATCCATATAGATAATGTTTGGGACTTAATTGTCAATAATCACCGCATTACAATACATAAGCATGCAAAGTATAATCATTGTAATGTATACTGCATCAAATAGTCGATAAGGAACAGTAATAAAACCTAATTAAGTTATGAACTATGAATGTTGAAAAAACATTAGTGGGCTTCCTTTCACTTAAGAAGAATGAAATAAAAAAGTGATACAAGAACACTGTAGTAACCATTGTAGTATTGAGATGAACACAGCTATCATATTTCAAGTATAACCAAAAATGCATTACCGTTTGCAGAACACAATACTTATTTTTACCTAGGCGCTACCTGAAAACGCTTTTTTTGCTATAGAATTCTGAAGTAAAGGTAGTTCAGAATATTTACACGATTGACTATATATGACAGCATTTTTGAAGAAACTTGTACAGAATAAGACATGAGGTAACAATATTAGAAAAGTACTATATTTTCATGAAATAAATAAAATATTTTTCGCGGATTTTTTCAGTTTTATAAAGATAAATCTTAAATGTTAAAGGGATATTAATACAAGTTTATACAACAGGGATACTGTACAATTTGAAAAACACTATAACTTTGAGGAAACAACCATTTCAATGTATAAAAAACTCTGCTTTTGGAATCATAGAACGCGCCATAGTCTTCCAGCGTCTTCGCCGCTTATTCTCAACCACATTCACCTTATGGATGTCATTATTCATTGGAGAAGAGGATAGAGATTGTGTCGGGATATGATTTCCAGTGTTATACAAATGTGCATCAGATGAAGATGACATTGATTGAAAGGAAAGTTCGGACGAATTTGAAGAATGCAGCACTCTTTGAATATTTTCATTCAAGGGTGTTTGTTCAGACCATAAATCTGAGAAGTATTCTTCAACCTCTTGAAAACTTAATTCAGGTAGCACTGGAGTTGATGAATACGATTGGTTGTTGAACTCACTTTTGTATTTCAATTTTGAACCTTAAATTTAAAAAAACAACAACATAAAAGTCTAATTCAGTAAGTAAACCTCTCTTTAAGGCAACAGGGAGAGTTTGTTCACAAATATTTACTGAAATCTGGATTTTCTAAATCTAAAAATTATCTTATAGGAAAACTGAACCTGTGAATATTCAATAAGTGTTTTCATATGACAGCGCTTCACTAATACGTTGAAACTGGACATAATGTAGTTCAATAATCTTTCACTGAAACTGGCATTTATTCACTCTGATGAGTTTTCAAACCACTAAAATTCAATTATTATGAGTGAGCATATTGTTCTCAGTGAAGATTGGAGGATAAAAGTAAAATAAATCACTCATTTTACTGTTGATAAACTTCAAACTAGAAAGAAATAACTGTCCAGTACTGTTTGGTTTTGAGTAATGTCAATTTGTGATCTAACTTTAAATCCATCAAATCCCTACAATCTTTAGTCTTGAACATCCTAGGATGTATGTCTTCAGAAAATATTAATTACTAGCACACTAAACAGGTGATAATAATTCTTTAGACTTATTATTAAGTCGCCAGTGAGATATTATTCATTCTATGTCATGGTTTGTTTTTCTGTATATATTGACACTTTTTCTAATGCGATCAAAAATTAAATCTTGAGATTATCAAAATCTGGTCAGCTTTCAACTGCTATGATGTCTGGTTATAAGTATGTGCTGTATCTTCAAGACAAGTTTAATGGTCAGCATCTTGCCTTAATGGAAATAGCTTATACTATCTACATATTTAGGTTTTAAATCATGGCGTACAACTATTAATAATTAGAAATGCCTCAACCCTCGGTTAAAGTCACGTGGATATTTATTTACCAGGCTTCTAAATAAATGGTTAGGCTCAAACTGAAAATTTAAAACAGTTTAGTAAGTATGTAAATCTATTCCTACTTCTCCCAGTGTAGCAACAGATGGAGCTTACACTGAATGCTATTATGATCGTCTGAAAAAGTGGAAATCATTTCTATAAACAACTTAGTACACTTTTCGGTAGCATATATTTATCTTAGAAATAGTTAAGCAAGAATTATGAGGGATTCGGTGGTCTTCACTTTAGCATATTCTATTTATATAAGCTAAAACTGATTGGGTGACTCGGTGTTCGAAACGCATTTAGTCTCAGTTGTGATCCTATTAAAATGTAAGGAAGAGGGAGAATTTAAGGACAACTAATCTCATTACCCTGGCCTCCACTTTTGCAGTCACCCTTTATGTAAAATAAACCTAAGAAAATAATGCTATCTCGTATTAGAATGTTATACTGTACTTCGAAGGGCAATATACAGATCAGTATGCAGTTTTAGACTTTATCATTAAGAAAAATAAAGAACTTCTAATTCCCACATATATGGATTCCCGTACCACTAAAACATATAGTAGAAACCCACTGGATCACTGCTGAAGTTCGACACTAACTTGAGTGGCTGTTAAACACAGTTCTAATTTGCATTTTCCCTTGAAGTGTGTTTGAACAGCTTAACCAAAGTGTCATTCATCTTCAGCGTTGAATAATAAAGAAAAAAAGAAAAACATCATTTCACACTCACCGACACGCAGCATTTGAATTAAACTCAGTTTAAGGTTCACTTAATCAGAAGATTTATCAGTGTAATCGAAGATTGTTTCTCGTATAATTTATTCGAAAATTTGTGCTACGGAATCAAATCCGATTGGCTTAAAGCAATCTCTTATTTTGATAAATAGTCAAGATAAGTGACAAGATATTACGCTAGGAATTCATATTAGTGATAAATTTCCGTCTCGATAAAGCTTTTATAAGAATTTATTAGTGTCATACTGAGTCATGGGTCACCATATTTTTCTGTAATTATTGTAAAGGTCAAAAAATATAATAGGTCGAACTTAATATCACATGCCACAAGATTTTTCTGATAATGTGACTAACAGGTAGGCGTTGAGAGAAAATCAGAACGTGTTAAGTGGATTTTAAAGAAGCAGAGAAAAAGATGAAGTATATTCAGTTCAGAAAATATGTTTCAGTTCTAACTTTTGAAAATTAAAAAAGGTGAACTTTACCTAATTCACCACAAATCGAAAATCGATTACATAATTCCGATATATCAAGTTTGTACTATAAATTCTAAAATGGATTCCGAATAAGGGTTAAGTGAGGACATAAAGCTCATAGACAGTTTGTTTTCTTAAGTATCAAGTTTGATCAGTCGATAACTATTGAAAGCCAGTCGGAACTAGACGGCTATTTCTTTCTAGCTTAGGACTCCTCATCAGTACATATCCATGACCCCTCCGGGAGTCAGACGCGGGACCTTCTGGTTATGAAGCCAAGTTCGTTAACCATTCAGCCACTCTGACTATGATTCAATGACCAGTGAATTCTCATTTCCGTCATTTTGAGATTAAGTATGCTTTATAAACCCTTAAAGGAAGGAACTACCACTGTACATTACCGCTTCTGTCGTTTGCTGTTGAATGCCGCAAAGACAAACGGAACCAACTAGTTAACACAGTTGACTAATTGGGAACAGGCCGATGGATTAAAAGTATTTTTTTACCCAGAAACAAACTCAGTGAAAGAAATTTTCATTTTTCTTCCCGCGGATTCGTTTTTTTATTTCTGTACACTTTTTCTCACCACCCCCTTTAATCCTATCATGAAACCTAACACCGTGAATATCATCATATATCAAACAGAAATCAACCCAAAACTAACGACTTTCAAATTTCGAAGAAATGTCTGTTCAGTGATGGTTAGTCCTCATTCGTGCTGTGACGACTGATCAGATGACTAAAAGAAGGACCTCTTATTTGTCCTTAAATAGGTAGATGATTTTCATATTATCAGTTCTAAAAGCTTGCTAGATGAGGCAGGAATTTTGCTAGTTGTTTTCATTTTTTCCCTATGGAGGAATAAATTGTCATGTTAATATTTTGATGAATATTTTCGTAAAATGAAGGGCTTTTGATTTTTTTGTCAGAACAAAATACCTTCTTTAACAATAACTGATTCAGAAATATCGTGTCAATTGCTCAAATAAACTGCATACACCAAACATCTGTAATGCAGTACTTTTCTATTTTGTAAACGGTCGAAGTTTCGTGTACTGCTCACGAAGCAACCTCGATAGGACACACTAAAACGGGTGTTAGTGAGAAATTACACCTACTGCCACTGATTGGCATCTATTACTGTTGAATGCATAAGTGTGCGGCGAACGATCACACCAGTTATCTACATTTAGGCTTCTTTTCTGTCTGCGGCATAACTTTAGAAATAGTAATTTTCTTGGTTATATCTTCGTAGAAAAGGCTTCCTGCTTATTTTTCACCTGTGTGCCCTCGTACTTTGGCATAAAATATGATCTTTTGTAAAACTCTAATAGCCTTTTCGTTCCCAGTTTAAACCTGTCTCAGTGGTTATCTTATACTCTTAGGTAATTGATTGACTATTTTTATTTACCTCAATTCTGATAACTTGTTCTATGTAAGAAATTGTTAATAATGGTGAAATAAAGTTATGAATAGACAGAACCGATTTTTCTCGGATAATCTTAATGAATAACCACAGTAACGCTTATTTATTAAATTCCGAACACTGTCGAACTTTAGCTAAACGAAATCATATTATTTTATTCAGTTAAATAATTGTTTGGTTTTCTGTGACAGATTCCTTTGTTATGGTTAACTTCCGATGAACTGTTACGAAGAGAATTGCATATTTATAGTAACGTAACGGGAAAAACATAATATTAAGATTCATTAAATTTACGTTGTACACACTTTGATGCAAAGTCTCAGAAGCCATTAAAAGAGAATTATGTATAGGCACACAGTATCAGAGTTTAAATTACCTGCTCGGTTTACTTCAAAGACTATATCTTCTAAGTCAGATTACGTCATATGTTATGTGTCCCTTGTTCAATTAACTTTTAGTATATAGGTTTCCAGGCCGTAGATGTTACGAACTTCCTGGAATAATTTAAGCGCCGAGTCAGATTGATCCATTATAAATTATTTAAATTAATCCCAGCGTGTTAAGAAAATCAAAACAAGATTTTTCTGAACGTTTCGCTGTGTAAGCCACAGCTTCTTCAGCAGAAATCTGCTGACATCGTCACAATAGTGAAGGCCATTGGCAACAGGCGTGTAGGCATTGAACTAACTCAAAACTACTAGTGAGAGTAAACATATTTCCCCCAGTCCCAATGTAGTCCCAACCACAGATAAAAAATAAAACTCACTTAGCACTCTGAATTCATATACCTACTAAACTTGTAAATACTGAACCAGCTCGTAAAAGTGTAGATAATACTGATTCGTGAACTTCAACGATGCTGAAGTCTTCTTAGGTTTTAATGAGGGGTGGGGATAACCTGTTGTATGAAAGACGTCAACACTATTTGTTTACTAAAACAATTTTGAACCTCTATTACCTCATCTCCTGGATTAAAGTGGGTAGATTAAGCAAATTAAATGATGACTATATTAAAAACTCCTATGGCGTATACCAAGTTATTTACATTTTTCGGGAAGTTACGTTACTAACAAGCAAATGTACTGTTTTATTTATGACCTGTTTGATTATAAAGATTTTTGTTCTGATTGAAATAGTATTTTGTACAAAAGTTGGATGAAAATGTTTCTTTCACTTGTAATACGAAACCGGTGACTTGAATTAACAAATTGCACAGTGTTCAAAGTCTATACAGTAGGGAAAAAAGCTGAAATGTCGTCCAAGCTGAGGAAATCAGTTAAGCGTATATCCTTCAGATTTTGTAATTTCAAGTCACCAGTACATCTGTACTTATCGAAGAATGTGAAATGAGCATTGAGTTTTTGACCTACTATTGAAAGATTTGGGGCTTTTTCAAAGTTGTGTGGAGAAAATACTTAATATATAGGAGATATTTAAAGGATTCGAATCTAGTCTTCTAAGACTAAATAATAGAAGTAATGGTTCCAGTATTCTGTCGGCATTAAGCTTTTCATAAAGACTGAATATGACTCTAAAAAATCAGTAGTAATCACAACCAAAAAGCCAAATTAGGTTTACACACTAGATATGATATTAACCATACTATTCCAGTTATTTGATGCTTATGAGTCACCTGAATTGTATGGTCATGCTTCCATTGTAGTAATATCTTTAAACATAAAGACTTAAAATAACTTGTAAGACATTTTGTAAGTTAATTTAGGAACATTTGAAGAGTATTAAAGTGGGAAAATTTAATTTGACTGTCCTTTCACCGAAAAAACAGATAAACTTTAAAAATGACTGAAAAACAGTTTGCAATCAAGTTTTAGGCGTAAAACAATATTGTTAAAGTCTTAACAAAGCAATAAGAAGACGTAATTTGTTTTCTTATTGCTTTGTTTAAATTCATAAAGGTGACTAATTGTTTTAAATTGTTAAAGTCATTAGTTCTGATTTTTTGTTGGTTAGTCATAAGAAACGTTATTCTAAAGAAAACATGTATGAAACATTCAATCAACCTAAAATGTCATGCATATTCACAACGCTACTTTTGTACCACTTCAGTCATTGTCTCGATCGTCTTTACAAACAGGATAAACATAGTGATATTCACTGAATATTGTGACATTTTGATATAAGAACAGAGCTCGGGCACTGTGGTAGAATATAATTCCCTTCTGGAGAAAATTTTATTTTGGCGGAGTCTCACAGTGTAATACAGTAATATTTACTGATGACGTTTCGAGCACAATTTACTGTTCATAATCACATCAAGGTACTCAAACAACTTTCCAGCGTCGTTTATATACATGAGTAAAAAACTGATTTGACTTATAAGTTAACAAATAAGAGTCAATAGAAAGTTCAATAGAAATGCATAGAATAGAAAAGAAGATAAAGTACATTCGGAAATAATATCAATAAAATGAGACACAATGGGAAATGAAACGAGTGTTGTTAGTCAGTAAGACAAGGAACAAGATGTTTTATCAGTAAAATAAAGTAAAATAAATGACATGTTAGAGTGTGATAACGTTAACTGAAATAAAACAGTTTTACATTTCCAAAAAGTGAAAACTACTGCTTCATTACGTATACTGATGGAATCAACTTCTTTCAGAAGCTGAGTAAGAATTTTTAAAGTACAAACTGGTCAGTTATCAGACTTTGTGAGTATTTTTTCTCAGTACTCACGTGTGTTTGTTCTCAAGCACAAATGTAGTCCGCATTTTACATCTGACTGTTAAAATGAAACAAATTAGAAATGAAAAGAAGCATTAATAACGATGCGAAGATTTGTTTCAACTTGTCATTTAGCATAAGATAGGGTTTGTTGATGAACTTTGATCAGAGTGCTGTTAAAACAAATGAAGTTTTATAGGAGTAAATAACTACATGAAGAAATAATTCCAGCTAAAATTGAAAACAACAGTCTTACTGATATGCAGAAAAAATTTGGATGGCCTCTTCTACATCTTTATGAACTTATTCTTTGCCTCCTGTTCTGTCTATTTTATCCTTACCTGTGAGCATATAGGCAGAACTCTTCTGGTATTTCTAAAGTCTGTATAATCCGTGCATAATTTGAAAATAATCTATAACATATAGCTTCCTCTTATGTTTCTCTCTCTCTCTTTAAATGCGTATCATGTGATGGTTTGTGTAATACTGACACCACCAGACTAAGCTTTGATATGAAACTTAATCCGTGATTCCACGAGTTACTAGTTAATTTTAATTTTAAGGAATAACCGCAAAATTATTAAGGTGAAT